TTCCTTCTCCTTATTGAGTTTGGAAGACCAAAACTGGGAAAAAAAACTTTAAGGATTTATAGTGCTCTTTTACTGCATTTAGGTTCTGCCGCATCTGATACTGCATCTGACTCTCTTATCACCCATGCTGAGGCTGCAAAGCTATTGAACTCACTCTTGAAGCTTCGCAGGCCTGCTGCCATCCTCAAGTGGGAAGCTCTGGGTTGCGTTCTCTGCAACAGTCTCCCATGACAATGGATGAGATTCATCAGTGAGTGTCTTCATAAATAATATTTAGGTCACATGATTACCATTCTCTGGAAAACATTAGCAGTTTGGTTGTTCCTGCTAACTGGGAATTTTTCTGAAGGTTCTTGTAGGTAAAACTAAGGTGGAGGGGAGGAAGCACTTAGGAAATTGGTTGTTGCATTGAATGGGCTTGCTGGAATAGCTATTATAAAGCAAGAATTTTCCCAAGCAGCATCATTTTATAAAGAAGCGCTTGCTTTAGCTGAGCAGCACTCTGAAGACTTTCGCTTGGACTCATTGTTAAACATTCATATTCATCAAAATCTTGCTGAGATTCTTCCATTGACTCCGGAATACACACAACAGTTTCATTCAGACAAACAGTCACCTGAAAGTTTGATGCACAAAACCTACAAGATCTGTGATGAAGATAATGGAGATAGAGAAAAAAAAAGTGGGGAGGACACCTCTGTTTTGACCATTGATGCAGAGAATTTGCCTGAGTTCTCTTCTGATCAACAAACTCCTGACAGAAATCATACTAAAGAATTTGAAGATAAGGCTTGGGCACAGTCCAATTCTTCTAGTATTCAATGTTTGAAAATTGCATGTGAGAATCTGAAGCAGAAGTTTTTATCTGTGTTCAACTCAAAGCTTTGCTCAGCTCAGCAAGAGTTCAGAAAGTCTTATGCCCAGGTATATTTCCTGTAAAGCTGCTTCTGACATGTGAAGTTATATAAGGTTCTTCTATCAAATTCCGAGTCTTATCTGCAACATGAAATGTCTTGGATGCAATACATGTTATTATACACTGTGTTTGATACATGTTATTGCACACTGTGATGGATCTCTGATGGCTACATGTGTCATATGGCTGATGTTGGTTGCACTTTAGTACAATATGCCTCAGGTGATACGGGAAAACATTATTCAGACATATCCAGAATTTTTTTCCCTTCTCAATTGGGATCTATAATAATCAATTTATTGAAATTCCAATCCCAAAGGTGATCAGTTTTTATCTTTGATCTCAAATTGATTTGTAGCTTCATGGATTTATTGTGGAACAAGCTCTTGAATTAAATAATAGCATTACAGTGCTGTCATATGTTTCTGTCATTTTACGTTTTTTTGTTTTTTTGCAAGGTTTGTGATACACTCAACAATAGGAAAAACCAGCAAGCAGTTTGGTGGTTGGAAGCTCTCTATCACATAGAGCAGAACAAGGAGTCTGCGGATGAGTTGATCAGAAAGATTGGAGAAGCTGTGTCCGGTACTGTAAATGTTTCTAGGACATCAAAAGTTGCATCTTGGTTAGTGAAAACTTTGATTCTTTTCCTAATATTGCTTCTATTCTGCAGTTTGACTTATTATTTCTATCATAGGCACTTCTAGATATGTAACTTATTGTAAATTTGGTCAAAATTGGAACTGTGGTTGCTTCTGTTCACTTTTAGGAAAAGACTAATGATTTTGCCTCATTTCTTATCCCCTCTAGTGTACTCTTTGTACTAGGTTTGATTGCTGAAACTAGAATATGATGGGTGCTTTAGAGTTGTGTAAGTTTGAGAGTTTTCTTTCTTTCAATAGATTCGTGTAGATATTAGAAAATACTTTAAAGTTATTGCCTTATTTCACAAATAGATATGTGTATTCTAGTCTGGAGATGTGCCTGAGCCATTGGTTATGCCCCTGACCATCATTTAGACCAATTTATTGATGTGCAGATGAAGCAGTCCATCATTTTTTTTTTTTTTTTGGTATTTTCATAAAATTAATAGCATACAGTCTTCAAAGAAAAATAAATAAAAAATGAAAATTATGAGAAAGATCTAGGAATCATCTGCTCCTAGAAGAGTTAAGCATCATTCCTAAGGTCACGATTGCATTATTACACCAGCAAACTGATCATTGAAACCAACGTCATCACAACAATAGAAGGATGAATTAGAAAATTCTAAGGCAAGGAGGTTGAAGTAGAGCAACCTGTGCAAGAAGATGACACCTACTTTAAAGAAGTTCGAACTATTATGTTTGTCATTCTGGTAGACTTTCTGGTTCCAGAAGAAGAAATCAGTTGAATGCATTCTTGTCCTTTCCTATAAAGATCGAGGGGTTTATCAGTGGATTATGCTAGAGTAAGTTCAAGGTCAACATCTGAAATTCTTCATCATTTCATCCTTCAAAACTCAAGGTCGAGTTTTCTCCAACTGGGGAGAGTGATGGAGACTGAAAGAGATGATTCTTAAATCTATCTTGATTTTATTTTGTTTGGACATTTATATAATTATCTTTAAGAGTTTTTATTATCGGGAATTAGGACTTAATTGTTAATAGGAGTTTAGACAGGATTTTTTCTTTGTTTTTTAGGAGCTAGATTAGAAGTGAGATTCTTTAGTCTTAAACTCACAATGATGTATTGCAACAATATAGCTTTTGTATGATGATTGAATTTAGAGAATATTTAGTTTTAGTGTTTCAGAATATGTTGCTTCTTATTGCTTGCGCACGCTTATGCTACTTGCTTCTTTAGTTTCCTGGTTCTTGTTCTTTGTCGCAAAGGCTTCAAAAACTCATAATAATCTCTTAAAGTAAATCAACTTGATTGAAGACTTTACGTGGCTTTGTATGACTTTGGGATTTAATTTACCAAGAATATGTAACCAAAGAGAAGTTTACATTGACTTTGAAACCTGTCCATACCAAGCTGATATAAATTCCAAATTATTGCTTCTTCTTATAATGATTTTAGTCAAAGTGTGTTGAGCATCTAATTCAAAGATTACTTCTTCAAACCCTCTTCATAGAGCTGAACTGAGTGCCATCTGTGAACTTCCTTCGCTGGCACTAGGAGAAAAAACCTTGCTCAAGTTTCTGAAACACTGTAGCAATTAAAACTATATCGCCTGTGCTAATTTCTGTATATCATTTGATTATCCAGCTTTCGAAGCATTACTGCTTTGAAGTATTACATACAGACTGGGTTGGACTCATTGGAAGATTCTAGGAAAATATTACTCGATAGACTTCTGGAAATTGATCAGACCATGGAAAGTCCAAGAGAGGAGGACATTGAACGTGTGAGATACTGTCCAAACTGCCAACCCAATGGGGAAGGTCTCACTTGTGTTCATTGTGAACTAGATGAATTATTTCAGGTTTTGTATCTAAAGTTTCTTTTAGAATGATGTTTTTCTGTATAACTAAAATTTTTTGCTGGGTTTGGATTTTCTTCTTACTCCCACTTATTTTCTCTAGGCCTATGAGGCGAGGCTATTTCGTCTTAACAAGGGACAAGATGGAGGGCTTATTACATCTGCTGAGGAGGCAGTGGACTTGCAAAAGAAGAAGTCTGCTCTAAACCGTTTTTATTGGACATTGTCCCGTGATAAGAATTCATCTTCATCAAGTGCCAAATATGAAGATAATGGAGGGAAGAGGGATGCTGGGGAAAAAGTATTGGTAAGTTACATCCTATCCTCTGCTTGTACATGTTGTCAAAATTCAGCTTTATTATGCACTTCATATTTCATTTGCAATATTTGGGGAATCTGATATTTTACAAAGACCTAATAAGAGTTCCTATCTAATTGGGGGGAGAAAAGAAAAATTATGGTTTGGATTTCCAAATCCAGTTGCTGAACTTAACTTGAATCATAGACCCAAAACATGACCAGATTTAAGAATCAATTGGTGGACTGTCTTAGTTTTGAAAAATTTTCCTGATTTGGATGTTTGTAACCAGGAAATATGAAGTTTGGACATTTGTGTTATCAATTCTAGCAAGGTGATTGAAATGAAAGTTATGTCAATCAACATTCTAACCATGTTTTCTTTTTCCTCTTCTTTTTTCTTTTTCCCCCTTTTTTGGATAACATATTAATAGGTTTCAAGATCTCCTTCAGAATTGGAAGTTGTTCTGGGAATAATAAAAAACAACTCCAAATCTCTTTTAGGTCGAGATGGAAAGACAGCAGCCACCAAACAGCTGCATCTCCTAGAGGTATTGCCACATAATTTTTTCTCAATCTATAGCTATATTAGCGACTCCAAGCTTCAATTTTTTATTTTCCATGAACAGTTCTACAAGTAGAGCGGAAATACTTCTACTTATCTGGACATGTTAGCTTCTTATTTGATATGAATATGCTGTTGTGCTGTCTCTGTCTACTCTCTTATCATACAACTTAATTGAAAACTAGGAGCAGTAGGGCATTTTTTAATGTCTTTTTCTGGTTCACTGAATGTGCTAAGGTAGGTGGTTACTTTCTAAATGATGCATCTAAATTAAAATAGTTCCTTTTTTCACATTTTCTTTGGTTAAGGGCATGCGGAAGGAGTATGCACAAGCAAGGTCCTTAGCAATTGCTCAGGCTCAGGTTCTTCGTGCTCATGACGAAATAAAGATGGCAACCTCAAGATTGCGCTTAAGGAGAATGATGATGATAAATCTATTGATGCCTTAAGTCTGGGAGAATTGGAGGCAGCTAGTGTCGAAAATTCTAGTGAAAAGTTCCTGGCCTTGAACTCATTATCACGTATAAAAGGACAACTTCGATATCTGAAGGTACCAGCACAAAGCCCAGTTGAATACTATATTACTTGTTTAGTTTTTCCATGCTATCAAGTATGGTTTTTCCTTGTATCGGATGCTTGAATATACTGAAGGTTCCGGGGCCAGTTAAGTACAGAAAACGGGGTAGTATCTTATTGACCAACAATCTCGTTGGCAGATCACAGAAGTTGTTAGATGGTTTTGCTTGATAAAGTGGTTAACACAAGTAATGAGAATGCAAGTTTAGTGGGAAGACAGCTACTTTGGATAGGTAATGCCATAGGTCAGGTCTTTGCACAATCCTTCCTGGTACCCTTAATTTGTGGCTACACGATTGGGTAATCATCTTTTCGTCTTTCTTTTGATGAACAAGGTATTGTAGTTTTTTTTTCTTTTTTTTTTTGGGGGGGGGGGGGGGGTTTTCAACTTTTTCTCTATAAGTCAATGATGATGCTAAAAGCTGATCCATACCTATTTGCTTGTCTGGTACCTATATCAACTCAAAAGGGGATTTGTGAAGTTTGTGATTGATAGACAAATATATGCTATTTAATGCCAATGGTGAATCAGAATTCCATCACTGACATATGTAGTTAATGTAAGGTGTTCATCTCCATATAGCCATGTTTTATATAATAACAATCCAGTGTTTTCAGTTATGGTGCTCATTTCAATTGTTATCTGATTTTACATTTTCTGTTTATTTGTCCCTTATTTTAATAGTGCAAGCCTAAATAGGAACTCGAAATTGATAAAATTGTCGATTTTCTTCCATCTACCTTTTCAGCTATACTTATTTCATATCTCCTTCCCTTTTCTCATTTTTGATTATATGCCAATGGTTCTGTAAAAATATATATGTTAGAATAGTTAGTCTTTAATCCCACGTCGAAATATGTAGTCATTAGTATTTTGTTAGAAGGTGTATATATACATGTACCACTACCACTAATGTTATTTATTGAGATAGTTATTTCTCCTCCTTTGTTTACATGGTGTTAGAGCCAAACTCTAGTCTTCTTTCATCATTGTGTTCTTCTTTCTAGTGGTGACTAAACCCTAGAAACTGTCACTATTCATTGACGAAAGTTTTTTTGCCAAAACAAGATTGTCGTTGGAGAGGCCATGTGACGCCGATTAGTTTGGTTCTTCGGTGTGCGTGACTTCACACGCCGCCACTTTTCCAATCCATTTCTCTTTTGCCGGCATCGGATCTCTATTTCTGGGAAGGTCCACTACGTGATCTGTCCAGATCTGGACTGCTGGCCTTCAAATCTTATAGACCTGGTTCGTCTGTCCAGATCCCACCACGACTCCAAGTCTGACCGCGACTCCTGACGCCTGATTTGTCCACCACCATGACCATCGGCGTCGTCTCAGTGTTTCAAGCCATCTTTAGGATGCGGTTTGTCTTCCGACCTAATCTTCCTACTCAGCTCTTAGATCGGAACGATATTGTTCGATTCACATAGATCCTGTTTGTCAGACCTTTTAGTTCTGCTTGTTAGCCATCATCGCATGCCAATCTTGCTTGTTGGTCCCTCCTTGTCATATGTTACAGTCCGATTTTTTCTTCCCTTGCTGTCGCTGTCAGTCAATCTGAGCCAGATCCAAGCAGATTTGCAACTTCTGATCTCCGTAGGTGTCGTCCAGTTGCTGACAGCACTCTTAGATCTACATGATCCGAGTCCGATCCAAGTAGATTTGATCCAGATCCGAGCCTGATCCAAGTAGATCCAATCCAGATCCGAGCCCGAGCCATATCCAGATCTGCAGCTTCCCTCGCCTTTCTATGGTTAGATCTGTTGTGGTTCTCAACTACTGACAATCTCTTTGGCTTCTATGTAAGCAAGCTGGTGTCTTTTATCTAAGTACCAAGAGTGGTTAGATTTCTGAACTTGTTTCAATTGCTTTCTATTCTTTATCATGTCTGGCTCTTCTAGCAAGTCTACTATTTTTAGTTCCATAATTCCAAGCCCTCCAGTTATTGTCACTGAACCTCTTAATGGTGCCAATTATTTGCGTTGGGCCTCTACTACTGAGCTTTAGTTAAAGGCCAATGCAATTTTGTTCACTTGGCTAAGCAAGCTTTTGATATTCCCATGATTGATAAAGATAATTGGGAAGTAATTGGTGCTCAGCTATGTAGTCTACTGTGGAATATTATCGTTAGCTGATTAATCTTTTTTTCCCTTATCAAACATGCTACAAAGTATGGGAGAAAGCCAAATTATTATATACCAATGATATTTAGTGATTATACGAGTTCATCTCTGACATAATTAATCTTCGCAAATAGGATCAGCTCATGCCTACTTAGAGCATATCTAGGGTGTTAGATTGAAGTTTACTAAGCTCCTTCGTGTCACTTTTGACATTGCAACTCAAGAAGTTAACTACGATAAGTTTTTCATGCTCCTTACTTTGGCTGGTTTATCTTCTGACTTTGACTTTGTTTGTTAAGAGATACTAGTGAGTTCTTCCATTCCTTCTATGGAAGATGTTTTGCTTGGCTACTTCAGATTACTTAGCTTATACCCACTTCAGCTGCTTCTGTCGGTGATTCTTCTGTCTTGGCTTCCCAATCTCATACTAGTTCTACTAGTTCTTGCTTCAAGGGCAGAGTAAAGGCCAGCGTCTTTAATGTACTTATTGTCACAAGATGGGTCACACTCGTGATCGTTGCTATAAATTATATGGCCGACCATCTCGTACTTCTAATATTGCTCAATTAGATGTTTCTTCTGTGTTTGAGGTGTCCATAGTTACCATCTCTGTTGCTGATTATCAAAATTATCTAGTATACCAAGCTGCTCAGTTGTCTGCCTCTAGATCTGCTCAGTCATTTGCCTCACCTTTTGTTGCCCAGAACGGTAATTCAGTTGCTTGCATTACTCAATCATCCTCTATTGGCCCTTGGATTCTAGGCTCGGCTGGTTCTGACCATATTTCCGGTAATATTCATCTTTTTTTTAAACTTAGTAGTCCTCATTCTCTTTCTATGGTTACTTTGGCTAATGGTTCAAAAACATTGGCTAAAGGTCTGGTCAAATTCTTCTTCTTCCTTCCTTAACCTTAATTCTGTTTTTTATGTCCCTGCCTGTCCCTTTAATCTAACTTCTAGCAGTAAATTAACTAATTCACTTAATTGTTTTGTTGTTTTTAATCGTGACTCTGTTTTTCTACAGGACTGTGATACAGGGCAGATGGTTGGCGAAAGGCGTGAATCTCATGGACAGGATCGGGATACGGGCCAGATGATTGGCGAAAGGCGTGAATCGCATGGACTATACCTTCTCACACTGACGTTATATCCTGCTGCCTTTACTTCTATTGTTTCACCATCTCTCCTCCACAATCGGTTAGGTCATGCTAGCATCTCTAAACTCCAGTAGATGGTTCCCAGTTTGTTGTCTTTGAAGTCTTTAGAATGTGAGTTGTGTCAGCTTGGTAAACATGTTCGAAGTTCATTTCTCAAGTGAGTTAAAAATCGGGCTATGTCCTCTTTTGAGTTAGTCCATACTGACATATGGGTTCCCAGTCATGTTTCCACAATTTCTGGTTATCAATATTTTGTAACTTTTATTGATGATTTTTCTAGATGTACTTGGTTATTTTTAAGAAAGTCGTGTTGAGATTTTGTCTATTTTTCAAACCTTTTGTGCTGAGATTCAAAATAAATTTTATACCTCTATTCATACTTTAAGGAGTGATAACGCTTGTGAATATTTTTCTTCTTCTTTCACTTCTTTTATGTCTGCACAGGACATTCTTCATCAATCCTCTTGTGCTCACACACCTTAGCAAAATGGTGTCGTTGAACATAAGAATCAACCCTTGATCGAAACAGCACGTACTTTACTCTTTCATAATTATGTCCATTTTCGTTTTTGGGGTGATGCTGTCCTTGCTACTTGTTATTTAATCAATCATATGCCTTCTTGTGCCCTACAAAATCAAACTCTCATGTCTTTGTTGTTTCCACTTGCTCCATTATTTTCTTTTTTCCCTCGTATCTTTGGTTGTATTTGTTTTGTTCATAATTTGACTTTTGGGCAAGACAAACTTCAACGTAAATCTCTCAAATGCATCTTCCTTGGCTACTCCGGTCTTCAAAAAGGCTATCAATGTTATCATCTTGACAGTCATCGTTACATCATCTCTACAGATGTTACTTTCTCTAAGGAGTCTCCATTCTACTATTCTTTGACTGAAAGTTCATCTGTATCAGATGTTCTCCCCATTCCTTTGCTTGGACCCCCTATTGACACTGCTATCTCTCGCCTTGTTCAAACCTAGCACTGTCGATCGCGCCTTGAGACTTCCATTGTTGTTCTTGCAGATTCTCGCCCGGATCTAGCATCTTTACCATTCTAGGTTCCTCTTTCTAATAGTCTTCTTATTGCCCTTTGTAAAGGTGATTGCTCTACGCGAAACTCTCATTCTATTTATACCTTTTTGAGTTATCGTCGATTATCTTCTTCCTATTTTGCTTTTGTCACCTCCTTGTATTCTGTGTCTATTCCTAAAAGTATAGGCGAGACTTTATCACATCCTGGTTGGCGATAGGCTATGCTAGATGAAATGGTAGCCTTGCATTCTTGTGGCACTTGGGAACTCGTTTCTCTCCCTCTGAGCAAATCCACATTTGGGTGTCAATGGATTTATGCTGTAAAGGTTGAACCTGATGGGCAGATTGATCGCTTGAAAGCTTGTTTGGTGGCCAAAGGTTACACTCAGATTTATGGCTTGGATTATGGCGATACATTCTCTCAGGTTGCCAAAATTGTCTCTGTTCATCTTCTTTTGTCCTTAGCTGCTATGTGTCATTGGCCTCTTTTTTAACTTGATATCAAGAATACTTTCTTACATGGTGAGCTCGAGGACGAAGTCTATATGGAGCAACCTCCTAGATTTGTTGCTCAGGGGGAGTCTGGCATAGTATGTCTCTTACGTCGATCAATTTATGGCCTAAAATAGTCTCCACGAGCATGTTTTGGGCGATTTAGTTT